ACTACTACTACTACTACTACTACTACTACTACTACTACTACTACTACCACTACTACTACTACTACTACAATGATCCTTCTCTCTCTCCGCCCCCAATCCCCACCCCAACCTTAGCAGAGAATATCATGAATTGATGTGGCCTAAAAATTCATCACCCTGTAGCCTGCCTGGTGATGAGCCTTTAAAAACTGAGCCGGGCTCATCCCTCCACCACAGATAGACACTCCATCCTGGGCCCATAACTGAAGTCTGCCTAGTGTGGAGGTATCTGTGGGAGCTTATGCTTTCCTAACACAGCCTTCAAGAGCCCAAGGCCACCTCCATGCTACCACGAGGATACAGAAATAGAGCTCAGAGGAATCTCCAATGGACACAGGAAGGAAAAGCATAAATGTCAGCATGAGGAGACTTTCTGCTTCCATGTCTCAGGATGGACACCAGGGGGCAAAAGCCAACTATCTTCCACAACAAACTCTATGAAGCAGCCCTGCAACCCAGGCCAATATCGCTTTGGATTCTTTCACCAGCTAGATAATGAACAAAAATTATTCCTCAGCTGACTGTGGGTCACTGCTGCGAAGATGGATTCCGAGGGTCCGATCCTACCAGCAACAGCCTGACAGAGTGAGATATCTCAGCAGGATAAACAACATACAATCTGACTTCTGCCCCGCCAGTCATTCACTGAGAGCTTGAGGGCTTCATGCGAACTGAATATCCAATCCATATCAAGCACTGGGCTCCTCTGCCCAATGACTCAGGCCATAGTTCTGCCCCAAAGAGAATCAACAATTCCTCGGGACAGGATCTTGCTGGAGTCCGTGACCCATAGTAAGCACAAGGTTTTGCAACAAGGGAGATCTGGAAAGCCTTAGAGGACGACCGGTGTCAAAGGGTCAGTCAAAGAAAAGTCAGTTACGTGAAATTACATGGGAAACAGGTACAGAGTCATCCTGGCTGGGCGAATGACCAAATGTGTGTGATCCCCGGCCTATAGCCTGAGGGCTGTTCTCCTGTGCAGGCACCAAGCCCAACCCCGGAGCACAACCCTTGCGCCATGATTCTGTGATACAGGGACAGCCAGCTGGACAGGTGGTAATAGGGGCTAAATACAAGCTTGCTGAGGAAGGGTTGTTTTCAAGATCAAATGAGGCAGGTGAAAGGACTTTTAAAAGCACAACACACACACACACACACACACACACACACACACACACACACACGTACACACAGAGTATTATTTTTCTCAGAAGTGAGAAAATGCTCCCTGACCCTTCTGCTGCTGACTTTGAATCCACTCCCCCACTTTTAAGCAGGAGATGGCCTTGAAATGCCCTCAAACCTTCTGCCCTTCTCCCATCTCTTTTCATTGACCACAGTGGTAGATGGGGAAGCAGGTGGCATAATGTGCTACAGAGAAAACTAGTTTTGAAGTCAAAGGTCCTGTATTCAAATTCTGGCTTTGCTGTTTATTATCTAGGTGACGCTGAGCAACTTAACTACCTCTTTTGACCCCAGTTACAAGTAATTAGGCTTGTTAACCTCAAACCCTTCTCGTTCTGAACTCTCTATCATCTTGTATTTGTCTTCCTGAGATAACTCTTCCCCCTGGTTCCTCTTTTCTCTCGGGTCGTCAACCCTGTGAGCTACCCAACTTGCAAATGCTTCAAAAATGGCAGGGAAAAGGGATAGTCAGGAAAGAAGTCATTCCACAAAACACATCAATGCAAAAACTTGGGGATGAAACACAAGCCAGTAACATTCTACAGGTCAGATGGCCTGTCCAAAGGTAACTCACATCATAGGTGACCTCTTCCACTTGGTCCTTCTCCATAAGGAAGACTTTAGACACCTGTTCACATGGGCCTTGGAGGATTCTGGCAATCAGGGGGTAATCTGTGGCCTTTAGCTTCTGTTTCTCTGGAAGAGATAATCATAAGGCCGGTCATCCCTCTGAGCACAAAACTTCTCAGTTCAGTCCCACCTTCTCGCACTCCCACAGCTAACACCAACTCCGTGGCATTCGTGCCTTCTTAGGACAATCTGAGCTTGACCCTGGGCAAGTCACTTAACCCTGTTTGCCTCAGTTTCCTCATCTGTAAAATGAGCTGGAAGAGGAAACGGCAAACCACTCCAGTATCTTTGCCAAGAAAACCCCAAGTAGGGTCATGAAGAGAAATGAAGCAACAACCACAAAAATGGGGACAATAATAGCACTTCACGGTGTTGTTATAAGGATCAAATGAAATCATATGTGTAGAATGCTTTGTAAATCTTAAAGTGATGTGTAAATGTTATCTATTGTCATTATCATTGTTACTAACTAATTTAAGTGTCTGACTATGAAGGAATGAAACTTTTAATGTCTGAGATTCCTTCTATCTCCTCGGTATATATTTTGTATGTACACAATGTTGGCTTCCCCCTTAGATTACGAGCTCCTTGAAGGCAAAGAGCTGTTTTTGCCTCTCTTTGTATCCCTGGTACTTGGCACAATGCCTGGCACACAGTAAGCACTTAATAAATGCTTACTGACTTGACTTTTTGAACGATCATGTATGATCAAAGGTTCTCAGAAATGTAAGATCATCACCATCCATTGTACAGATTGTAAAGATGAAGCCAAAAAGCCAAGTACAGAGGTGAGATTCAAACTCGTGTCTCCTCATACTAAATCCACAGTGTCCTCCCCTGGACTTCACTACACTATTTAAATAGCCAAAGGAGTACTGTCTTCCAAAACAGGCACTATAAAGGACCACACTCCACTGAGGCTACCAGGGCTCAAAATGTTCCTGGAGCCTACTCTTCTTCAGCCACTGGTCTCAAAGATTATCCATGAGGCACACAACAAAAATCAGCCCTAATACTTTATAATCATAATTTTACTTCTGACCCCAAATGCTCTTCCCCAGCTTGATCACCAGACTCCATTTCTAGTAAGTTTGGGTTACTTTCTAAAACCAAACTCAATCCATTTCAATAAACATTTATTAAGCACCTAGTGTGTGTGCAGGGGGCTGTGTTAAATGTGGGGGGAGACATGAAGCCTTTGAGAAGTTTACACTCTAACAGGAGATAAAAATTCATACACAGGTAGCTAGAATACACAATGTTGGAGGGTCATACTCCAGTGATGCTACCAGGGCTCAAAATATTTGGGGGACCAGTATGTTCAGTGCGTTAGAGTGATAAAAAACAAAGTGCTAGGGGAGGTCTGAGAAGGGAAAGATCATTAGGGACCAGGGAAGGCTTCGTGGAGCTATTTAAAAAGACCAATGTGGATGCATAGGGAACTGAACAAATAATGTAGATTGCTATGTAAATCTTAAAGTGATGTGTAAATGTTATCTATTATCATTATCATTGTTATTAACTAATTTAAGTGTCTGACTATGAAGTAATGAAACTTTTAATGTCTGAGATTCCTTCCATCTACTCCATATATTTTGTATGTATTTTGTATTAGATTATGAGCCATACACAGAAGATTTTTAAAAGCCACACACAGAAGTAAGAAAGGACAGTTGGTGGAGAGTGAATACAAAAAAAGTATCTATATGGCAAAGTCTTGGGAGAATAGCATCAAGTATAGTAAAGCTCAGAAAGAGGAGAGGTTGATAAAGAAAGCTAATGACGGCAAAAGGGTTGGTTGGTTGTTTCTTAAAGCTGTCGTCTTGCTCAGAGTGGATGGGAAAATGATAACTTATGACAGAGATGGTAAGGATACTCAACTTTAATTTTTCTTTTGTTTCCTTACAAAAGAGAATAGTCTTTGTTAGGGGAAGGACAGAACACAGCTAGATGACCGCTTGGGGAATATGATGCATAGTAGCTAGGTGGACTAGTGACTGGTCAGGTCAGAAAGACCTGCATTCAAATTCTGCTTCTGATACAATCTCTGTGACTCTGGCAAGTCACTTACTGAGCCTTAGTTTCCTCATCTGTAAAATGGACATAATAATAGCACCTGATTTCCTGGCCTGTTGTTGAGGATCAAATAAGGTAACTTAGGTAAAGCGCTTTATAAATACTAGCTACGTACGGGCTGGACTACATGTCCTCTCAAGTTCCTTCTGATTCTGTGAGATCCTATGACCCTGTGATCCTGAGGGGCTAGTGGGGCGGGGGCAGGGAACACAGGTAGCACATGAGGTGGAAGAATTTAAAAGAAAAAAACAAAACAATGACATTCTATTCAGAGAATACAGCCTGAGCAAAAGCATAGAGATGGGAAAACACAACTCCTATTTGGGAGGGTAGAAAGTGACCTACTTGGGCTGCATCATAGATTGCACAGAGGGGAAAAAACATCAGGAAAGGCTGGAAAGGTAAGGTAGGACCAAAATGTGGAGGGCCTTGAATTCTAGAGGATGGAGTAAGAACATTGCCTAGAAGCTAACAGGGCAGCCTAGTTTCCTGAGCAGGCTGACTAACCCACTGTTTGTTTGTTTTCCTACACTTTCCTCCTCTTCTGGACAAAGAGAGTCTTTGGGTAACAAACACGTAAGGGATACAAGGTGGAGGTCATGCAGAGAGCTTGCCTTCCCACGTTCCCTCTCCTCTCACTGGCCCTCTACTCTAGAATCCTGGGCTGTTCTATGTCCAGGAGCCTGGGCCTAGCTGCCTCTCACTAGGGCACTTGTCTGGCTTAAATTCTTTGAGCTAAGGAGTGACATGGCCTGATCTACACATACAGAACAAAGACCTGCCACCATCAAGGAGCTCAAAAGGACAAGTCTTAACCAAGGGTTTGGATGTAATCTTACACACAAAGTCATCTGTAAGTAATAACTAGCAAAGGAAGAAATGGTACTTTAAAAAAGTTGACTTAACAGACATTTTCAAGCTTACCTCCACTGGTATGAACGATATATAAAGCAAATTCCTCAGCAGAATTTTCAATCTGGAAACAAAGCAAATAATATCAAGAAGGGTTGTTAATCATCAACATATATTTATTAAGACTCTATCATATACTGTGAGCTTATTTTTTTAATGAAGCCATTTGACTTCAATTCTCTCTTTTCCCATTCTCTTCATATCAAAAACCCTTGATGTCATTTCTCACTCTCTCTGTTCCCCCGGTCTCAGACAGAATTATCCCATCTCCTTACCAAGGCCAACCCCTCTAGGTGTGTACTTGATCTCAACCCCTCCCATCTTCTCCAATATAATACAACCTCAATCATCAACTTCTCCCTATCAACTGGTACTTTCCCTACTGCCTTCCAATATACACATCTTTAAAAAACCTTTACTAGATTCTACCATCCCCTCAAGCTATTGTACATCTCCCATTCTTAGATATACTCCTCGAAAAGAATCTCTGTACTCATGCTTATACTTCCTCTCCTCTCACTCCTCAACTCTGTAATCTGGCTGCCAGTCTCATCACTCAAAAGCAACTTAGTTATCAATGATCTTGTAATCGTCAAATCCAATGGTCTTTTCTCAGTTCTCATCCTTCTCAACCTATCTACTGAATCTGACACTATTGTCACCCTCTCCTTCTGATAACCATTTCTTCTCTGGGTATGCAGGTTTCTCCTTCTACGTGGCCATTTGCTTCTCTCTCTCCTTTGCTGGCTCATTATACATATGACACTAGCTAAATGTGTGTCTTTCCCAAGGTTCCATGCAGGTCTTTTTCTCTATTCTTTCCCTCCTCCTCTTTCTTACTCTCTCTCTCTCTCTTTCTCCCTCCATATTCCTCCCTCTCTCCATCTCTCCCTCATCAGCTCCCATGGGTTTAACTATTATCTCTATGCAGGTGATTTACAGATAAAGACACAAATATAGATATAAGTATATAAATATGTATATATATATACATATATTATACACACACACACACATAAACACATAGACACCCAGTCTTTCCCCTGAGATTCATAGCTGCATCACTAATTGCCTGCTGAACATTTCAAAATGGATGTCCCATACACATTTCAAATTCAATTTGACTTAAAATGAATTCATTACCTTTTCAGGGAGCAACTAGTGGCACAGTGGATACAGCACTGGGCCTGGAGTCAGGAAGACTCAAGTTCAAATCCAGCCTCAGACAATTACTAACTGTGTGACCATGGGAAAGTCACTTAACCTTTATTTAAATGCCTCAGTTTCCTCAACTGTAAAAAGGGGATAATAATAGCATCGCCTACCCCCCAAGGTTATTATGAAGATCAAATGAGATAATATTTGTAAAAATACCTTAGCACAGTAAATGTACACAGTAGGTATTTAATAAGTGCTTGTTCCCTTCCCCTTCCCTTTTCTCTCAGTACCAGACTTGTAAGGTAGCTCTTGGCAAACATATGTTCCCTATATATGTGCTCCACTACCATGGTACTTTAAGTTTGAGCCCCCTCTCTCTAAAGGTCTTATATGTATAAGAGAGTGCACCCCTGATCTTGAGGAATTGTTTTGCAACAACTGTTCTTGCTATGCTTTCTCAGAAATTCCTTTTCTAAAAGTTAATGAGTTCAACTGGCTGATTGATAATGAGATGCACCCTGGTGGGGGTTCAGGAACTATAGTGTTGGAAGCTTTAGTCTCCTCTCCATCCTGTTTCTGATTTCTTCCTTTTCTTCCTTCCTATTACCCCTCAGGGTTATACCTGAAATCCTGAGGGGAGTTACAGCTATCTTCTAAAGACCCAACCTGACAGTGCGAGTGGGGAGTGAGTCCAGAGAAGACACTACACTTATATATGTACTTGTCTCCCTCACTAGACTATAAGTGGTTTGCCATTTCCTTCTCCAGTCCATTTTTACAGATGAGGAAATTGAGGTAAACAGGGTTAAATGACTTGCCCAGGGTCACACAGCTAGTAAATGTCTGAGGCCAGATTCAAACTCATGAAGATGAGTCATCTTGACTCTAGGCCTGGCACTCTATCCACTGCACCACCTATGTTCCCACTACATTGGCATAATGGATAGAGTGCTGAGTGTGGAGTCAGGAAGACTTGAGTTCAATCTGGCCTCAGACACTTATTAGTTTTGTGACCCTGGCACAAAAAAATTGTCTGTTTGCCTCAGTTTCCTCAATTTCAAAGTATGACTCATAACAGCACCTCCCTCATAGGGTTGTCATCAAATGGGATAATAATTCTAAAGCACTTAGCACAGTGCTCGGCACATAGTATGAGGCTTAATAAATGCTTGTTTCCTTCCTTTCTAGATCAGAATGTTGAATCTCAATTTCTTGACTCTCTAATCTCTCATACCTATGAATCCTACTCTCCCTGCCTTAGGAGGAGACCGCCTGGCTATGGTCCTGACTCTACCCATGAGTATCTCTTGGTAAACCCAAACACTGCTGTAATACTCATTAAAAATCATCCCATTTGCCTCCTTCTGCACACCTACCATCGACCATTGACCACTGCCCAGAGGCTGTTGGTTAGAACAGATCTTGAAGACCACTCACCTTAAATTTATTGAGTAGGAGCTTGAGGACCTGAGGTGTTGTCATGGTGCTGTTAATCCTGACATTGGTGACGGAGCCATAGGCCGGGGTGAACACAGAAGTCTGCCAACAGAAGAGCACATTACTGTAGTTCTCACTAGAGTCCAGTGATGGGGGAAGGAGGAGAAGGGGGGAAAGAAGAAAGGTCATATTCCAGCTGGAATGAGACCAGAAGGTCTAGAAGCCTGGGGGTGATGCTCTATTGACCAGGGCTTTCTGGGCAACTCCTCACGTCTCCCATAGGGCCTGGGGAACCAGGCCAAGCCTAAGAGACATCAGCAGACAAAACACCTTTGAAATTTAAATGTCTGTGAGACAGATAAATGGCTGTGCAAATTGCTGCTTCTCCCTGTTGTACCACCATGGGGGAGGAATCTACAGGCTGGTTAACAGAGAAGCTACAGAGGCTTCATTCATTCTAGGAATCCAGATTCCCTATGTGGCTGGCTTTTTATAGGAGCTCTAGAGAGCCCAAAAGGCCTTAACTTTAATATCCCTTTCTGGTGGTGATTAGGTATTTGGTGACCACTCCAAAGGAAGAATAAACAGAAAGTGCCCTTCTCTTTTGATTATAAAATATATCGTTCTGTGGCTCTTTATCATACAGTTGGGCTTCTTGGGCAGTATTTATTCCAACAGAGAAAACAGAAGGGGCAGGCTGACAGGGGCTGACTCTTATTCTGACTCATTTGCCCTCCCTTGCCTTTTTCACTTTATTTCATGCAGACCAGTCCCATATATGCCCCTCCATAAACTGCCTGTCTTGTAGAGAGATTTGCACAAAGGGATAATGTATGTAAAGGCTGTGTTTTACAAGGCATTGGTGGTTTTTGAGGATGCCTTACTAAATATGCCCAATTATCGGTAAATTGGGGACTTGTGCAAGCATGGCTGCCAAAACGGTATACTCGGGCCAGTTTCATTCCTAAGCCCTTGTAGAAAGCATCTGAGCAGTAGCTACATCTGCTCCTAGCCAACCCACCAGTCCAAAATTCAGGAAGTCAATATGTTACCTCCCTGAGCTATGCTATCCGTGGACCCCATGCCCTTCTTCCTTTGAAGCGGACCTTCCATCCATAGCCCTGACTATAGCTACCTCTTGTCTTAAGAGAAGACATTGCTTCCTCCTTCCTGCCCACCCTCCCACTCTACCTTATGGTTGTAGAAGTGGCCATTGATGGAGAAACGGTGCCGCTTGATGCGCCGCTGGTCACTAGGGGTGCGCACGTTGCCACGGCGCCGAACCCCAACGTCACTGTGTGTCCTCATCAGCTGAGGCGTGTCTTCTTGTAGGAGCTTCAGGTCTCTGGTCCCTGGGAGAGAAGTGATATAGTATGAGCCCCACTTAAGGATCTGGCCATCTTCTTCACCCAGTCACAGCCCTTGGCTGGCCACTGGCCACATTTTCAAAATGTCATGCCTACAAACATACATCCTAACAAAAACTACACTGATAACTCCTAGACATCTCTTTCCATCAAAAAATCTCAAGAAATTAGGAAAGGGATGACTCCTGCCTTCTCAACAGCCTCTCTGTAGGCAGCTAGTTGATGGTACAGTGGATGGAGTACTGAACTTGAAGCCAGAAAAACTTGAGTTCAAATCTGGCAACCTCTTAACTTCTGTTTGCCTCAGTTTCTTCATCTATAAAATGGGGATAATAATAGCAACTACCTCTCGCAGTTGTTGTAAGGATCCAAGCAAAACACTACGCTAGCTATGATTATTATTTCCTAGCTTCCATGAGTCTCCTCCTACCTCTGTCCTTTTCTTCTGTCCCCTGGGCTGGGACCTCTCCCTCCTGACCTTGAGACATGAGTGTCCCCTGTAGTGCGGGAGCTTAAACTGATTCTGGCATCCATAATCTGGCTCTAATCTATTTTTCCAGGCTCATTTCATACTCCTTCCACAGCCAAATTAGACAACTCTCCATCCCACCTGGAACATGCCTTTTATGTCCTTTGTCCTTATTCATTCCATCCCACCACCATCTACTGAAGCACCTTTCTTTCAAGGCACAGTTCAGAGCCTGCCTCCTCCATGAAGCCCTAATGACCACCCCAGGTGAAAATGACTTCTCCATCCACAAAGTCCTCTTTACTTTAATGTTTCTATCCTTTAAAGTTATCTTAAGAGGGAGTACGGCCCAGGAGATAGAAAGTTGGCCCCAAAGCCAGAAATGAGCTCAAGTCTTGCCTCTTGATATATATTGGCTTTGTGACCCTGAGTAAATCACTTAATCTTGCAGTGCTCCCAATCAACTAAGACTACAAACTTAAGAACAACTGTCAATCTGCCTTACAAAAGGCAGTTTCCTCTTTGAGTACTCAAGTCCTTGATAGATTAAATCACTGGTCTAAATATACCACTGAGGTCCAAAGATGTCAACAGTCTCTCCTTTAAAGTGAAAAGTCTTACAGTCAACATGATAAAAAGAGATCTCTGAATTTAGCTGTATTTCCTTCAATACTAGACTTAGCATCATGTACTTGAAATTCCACTAGAATAAGAAGACCTGGGTTAAAATCCTGTCTCCAACACTTATCATCTCCATGACCACAAGTACATAAGGATTAGCTGACCACTAGGATTCCCTCCAGCTCTAATCCCTGTAATTTCCTTAGAGCTCACGGGTCTGACTTAGCTCTAACTTGGAGTCAATAGGACCCAACCCTTCATATCCTCCTTTTCCCCGATCAACCAGGATCAGTTCTTGTTCCTCTTCTCCTAGCTATTAATAATAGCTAGGATTTAAAGAGTTAAAGTTGGCATTTGTTATCTCATTTAAGCCTACATTTGATGTAGGTGTGTTATTATTATTATTATTATCTCTATTTTTTACAGATGAAGAAACTGAGGCAGGCAAAGATTAAGTGCCTTGTCCAAGGTCACATAGCTAGGAAGCGTCTGAGGCTGGATTTGAACTCAGATTTCCTTGACTCCAAGTCCAGTGCTCTATCTGCTGTGCTACCTAGTTGCCTTCAGAAAAATTCTTGCCACTTTTCTGAATTTACAACTCCCAATGGCCCTGAAAGTAATATTTTCCTGAGTTATAAATTTCTTACTTATCTAGGAGAATACACAGGTAGAATATTCTGAAGTTACATCTCCCAGCCTCTGCTCCCATGGAATAGTCAGGAAGATCCCCCAGAAAAGGAGAGTGAGAGGGACTGCCCCGGGGCTCAGCTGGGATTTGGAACCCCTGTGCCAGCCTGCTTTAGGGCCCAGAGGAAGAGTCCCATGTGGAAGCAGTCCTACAAAAAGGCAGAGTTGTCCATGGGGCATGATGTAAAGGGCAACCTTCCTCAATGAAGGAGGCAGGTGCCAGGGCCTGACTCCCTAACTCAGACTCTTAGCAACTCTCCACTAGCATTTTAACTTTACCCTCAGGGGGACTCTCTTTAAGCAGATAAGCAATCAATCATTCCTTTGACTTGAGTAAGGCTTTCCTCTAGAAACCACTTTTTATTTATTGTCAAAGTAGCGCCAAGATGAAGGACGTATTAACTGTGATCCCAAGCCTACCACTTCAGCGGAGCCAGACTAACTCATCACCTTCTTCAACTACAAACCTGAGAAGCTTAGGAACAAGGATATACCTCGTAGTCTGGCACGCAGGGAGAGGTTTGGGGACGGGGAAGAGGTGGTGAGGAGGGAGTAGAGAACAGAAGCCCCACTCATTCACTTCATAGAGTTCTCTAGCGCTAATCTGCATGCCACATGGTCATGGCATCTGGGAACTAGAAACCCAGGCCCTCTTCTGGCCTAGTGAATTACTCTAAACTGATCTGATCAGTACTCATCAGGGAACGCTGCCCATACTTGGTATAGGACTTTTGGAGCCTGGACCAAAGGCAGAGGATGTGTATGCTACGAACCCATATGTGCGGTTTTCTGTGACCTCCCTGCTCATATACAGTCTAAAGGCCATGGTCTACAGGCTCGTCTTAGGAGCATAGATTTAGAGCTACAAGGGAGAATCTAAGTCCACACTCCCCCATTTTACAGATGAGTGAACCGAAGCCAAGACAGGTAAAGTGGACTGTAGGAGATCAGGGTAATAGGTGGCAGAGACAGGATTCAAACCAGGTCCTTAGACAAAGAATCCAGGGCTCTTTCCATTGTTTCATTATCTGACATACAGCACTGTCCTCATGACCTGGCACATAGCTCTTCCTGTACCTTCCCTGGAAGTATAGTGAAGCTATCTCTTATAACCACTTCTTATCCCCCACCCCCAGGCAGGAGAGATCTGAATTTGAATCCCATTTATGCTACTTATTAGCTGTGTAACTACAGAAGTTACCAAACCTCTAGGAGTCTCAGTTTTTCATACTGATAGACGAGGAGCCTGGAGTCAGGAAGACCTGAGTTCAAATCTGCCCTCAGACAATTAATAGCTATGTGACCCTGGGCAAGTTACTTAACCCTGTTTGCCTCAGTTTCCTCATCTGTAAAATGAGCCAGAGAAGGAAAAAGCAAACCACTTCAGTATTTTTGCCAAGAAAATTCCCAATGGGGTCACAAAGATGTCAGCCACGACCAAAATGACTAAAACACAAAACCTCCCTCACTGGGTTGTTATGAGGATTGGAGAGATCACTTTGGTGTAGACAAAAGAATAATGGATTTGGAGTGGGGAGCCTTGGATTTGAATCCCAGTTCAACTTTTACTTGCTATATGGCTGGCAAATCCCATGTAAAATGAAAGAACTGACCTAGATGACTTCTCAGGTTTTTTCTATCAATAAAACCATGATTCTGTGATTGAATGAGACTGTGCAGTTGGACCTGGAGTCAGGAAGACCTGCGTTTGAATGTGACCTCAGACACTTAAGAGCTATGTGACTTTCAGAAAGCCACTTAACTTTTGTCTGCCTCAGTTTCCTCATTTATGTACTGGGCATAATAACAGCACCTACCTCCTAGGGTCATTGTGAGGATGAAATAATAATGAGGTAATAATTGTAAAGCACTTAGCACAGTGCCTGGCACATAGTATGTACTACATAAATATTAGCTATGATTATATATGTCAGTATATATTAGTAACATCACTCAAGGATTCAAGCTGACCTGAATAAAGTGAGCCTATTCTTTCTCCATTAAAAAAAAAAAAAAGGCCGCTGCTTCATGTCTTGGAGTTACAAATGAGAAAAGGCATGGGAAGAGGTGGAGAAAGTGAATTAGTGATAGAGCCTTCTTAGACACTCTGGCTCCCCACATAATCCTGCCCGTTTATGGGCAGGATTAAATAAGTTGGCCCCTCCAATTTTCCCCAAGCCTGAAACTACTCACTTCTCAAGCTAAGCTGAGTCAAACTCTGAGAAAAAAATATCAGGGAAACACACTGGCATTGAGAACTAGTATTACATCTCTTAATGGGCCTGTCCCCATGACCCTCCCTCCTCCTTTCCCCAATCAAAGTTTCACCTGTTGGGCTAAGCCTCCTGTCACTTCCAGGTGCTGCATCCATGTCAGTGATCTGAATATCTGGGATGGCAACAGGCTTCATTATGGACCTAAGAGACAGAAAACAGAGAGAATATGAGCTCCTCAATGGAGTTATTTTGCTTTTGTCTTCATTTCCCCAGGGGCCTGGCACACAGTAGGTGCTTAATAGATGCTTGCCAAATGGAACAGCGAGGCCAGTTCAGCCCGCAGCCAAGCAGCTGATGTTGGGTTTCCTTGGCTCTTTCAGCAGTGACAAAGCACTCTCTCTCTCTCTCTCTCTCTCTCTCACCGGCTCTCAGAATGGTACTAGCGTGTGGCAAGGAGTGAAGGGAAGCTTCCTACTGGACTGGCCCAACTCCCAACACCTGAGGATGAAGGCCACCTACAGAAAAGACAAGGGATTCTGGCACTCAACATTTGCAGCAATACAATTGCCCATTTCATCAAACGCCCGGCCTGAGAACAAAACCAATTTGTTGCCTGTGGTCGAGGCTCTGAGTCCATTTGGGTTGTGCTGTTTATTTGGGAAAATGCTAACAGAGCTCCTTTGTTCACCAGGATGACATCCTGGAAAGGTTTCATCTCTGCGGGATTAATAACTCGGGCGCTGCTTTTTGGAATCTTAAAAAAAAAAAAAACAATCCACCTGGCAAAAATCAGGCCTTGTGGAAAAACAGAGTACAGACAAGCACCTGGTGGGTACAATCATGCCTCTTACATTTCTCAGTCTTCTCTGAGACAAAGCCCACCCACAGGGCTGGAAGAAAAGAAAGCTGGGTACCAGACAGCCTCTTGGTGACCTATGACTTGGTAAGACGGGGTCATACTACGTTATCTCTCCCCAAAGCCACGGGGCGGGGAGAAATGGGAGAAAACACAGAACACACTCAAAATCATCAAGGAAGCTAAACAAAAAATAGGTCAGGCAGGGAAAAAATATCATTTGGGAATATTTGAAGCGTGATCAAAAAGCACATATTTCACGTAGTCTAGGGGATGAAATTTTTAAAAGGGAAAATTAAAGCTGAAACTATGAATTCCTGAGCGGTCCATAAAAGTCTTCTGAAGGAGATTTCCATAAGGGAAATTTCCTGACCTCAATTCCATCTCACAAGAGGTGGAGGACGAAGGGCAGACACTGTGGGAGCTCAGGGGCTGGAGGACACTGCTCTGTGGAGAAGTAAAGTGAAGGAGAGAAGGAGGCAGGGGTGCAGCTGACACAGGCCTAGGCTGGGCCACCACCAGAGCTTTCTCATCCAGACTGAGGCCCTCCCGCAGTGAGCCGTGTACACAGGCCATGGAATGGACTGGGCCATGCCAAGGTTAGTGGGTGTGATGTCTTCCAACTCCCATGATGACTTCCTTTTCTCCTCTCCTTTCTCACTTCCTCCCAACAAAGCATCACAGATTTATATTTGAGAGGGATCGTAGAAGTCACCAAGCCTAACCTCTTTATTTTACATAAAAGGAAACCAAGGCCCACAGAGGTTATGATTTGTCCAAGGTCACCCAGTGAATAAATATATGAGGTGAGATTTGAATCTAGGACTTCATGACCCCAAGTCCAACTTTCTATCCATTACCCCATGCCAGGAATGGACTGGGGGGAGAGAGAAGAATGCATGAGTTTGGGGTTAAGAAGAACCATTCCAGACCCTTTCTTCCCCTACCCAAACTTTTGGTGCGTGCGCACACGCACACATACACACGCACATACACACACAGGAATACACATATAAGGCTATCCCCCTGAGAGAGGGCTGCTACAGTACTGACCCGTGGGCTCCCAGGTTGCAGCCAGAGTGCCAAGAGGAAGAGGAGGGAGGTGGCCTAATCCGTTCATTGTCATCTTGCATCTGCAAACGAATAGGCCGGCGCAGGCCCCAGAAGATGTTCAATAATCCCTCCACAATGAACTCATCTTCTTCCTGCCCCAGAAAAGCAATGAGCTCATCACAGCCTAGATGAGGTGACCCTGTGCCCTCGCCCTCTTGACCAAGTCGTCTGTGCCCTAAAGCCTCACCCGACCTCTGTGGAAGCCAGATTCCATTCTCGCTGAAGAGAGAACGGATGTGTCTTGTGAGCCCCAGGGCCAGGGCAGAAGGGCCATGGCAGAACTGGAAGTATATAGTAGATGAGTCTATTATGGCCATGGGAGGGAAGAACAATTAGCCAGTTCATGAATCTGGCCTCTAGTTATGTATTTGAATGATGGTCCTTTGTTAATTTAAGTAAAACCCTAGGTTTGATTGATTAAAAGTGGCAGCCAAGGTCCCTACTCTGAAAGTCAATCATGCTTTGGGAAATTCAGAAACATTATCGTTAATTCCTGTGTATGAATGTCTTTAAGGAAGGCAGAACTTTTTAAGTGAAAATACACAAGCGGTAAACTTTCTCTTCTAAAAAACAAACAAGACCTAAACATTCAATCAACTAGTGTGTGTGTGTGTGTGTGTGTGTGTGTGTGTGTGTGTATACATATATATGTGTATATACATATACACACATACACATATAGACATATATATATTACATACACACATATATAATCTCCTCACAGACCACAGCTAAATATTAAACAGGGATCCCAACCTTCCCAGCTCAAATGCTACCTCCTCTAAGCCACTCTCTTCTGCTCTTTCCTGAGCTAGAAGTATTTTCTCCCTTAAATGAACTCCCAGTCTACTTTATTGGCATCTGTGTGCTGGCCCCTATCAGAGCCTACCTTGTGTTACAAGTACAGTATTTCCGTAAATGTCCTCTCCCCTATTGGTATACAAGCAACACAGTGAGAAAAGCTGTGGGTTTGGAGTTGAAGGCCTAGATTCAAATATTACAGCTACCATTTCATACTAGTATGACCTTTGATAAATCACTTCCCCCTCTCTATGCCTGTTTCCTCATCTGTAAAATGGGGTGGTTAGTACTGGTAGTATCTACTTGGGTTCAAATCCCACCTTTGACATTTACTAGCCATGTGACATAAGCAGTCACTTAATGTCTCTGAATTTCAATGTTCTCATCTGTAAAACAGGAATAACAACACCTAGCCTACCATACCTACCCCATGGGATTGTTTTTGCTTTGCCCAAACCTGTGATTTCACAGGATTGTTGTAAAGTCCAAGTGCATAAATCTATGTAAAATGTTCTTTATAATGCTACATAAATGTCAATTGTTTTATTATCATTGTGGTTATAATAATAATAATTACTTATATAGTGATGTTAAGGTCTGCAAAGCACTTTACAAATGTTTTCTCATTTGATTCTCATAACCACCCTGGGAAGTAGGTACTATTATAATCCCCATTTTACAGGTGAGGAAACTGAGGCAGACAGAAGTTAAATGATTTGCCCAGGATTACACAGCTAGCAAATGTCTAAGACTAGATTTGAACTCAAGTCTTTCCTGATTCCAAGTCCCACACTCTATCCACTGAGCTACCTCATTTACCATCCCCTGAAGGGATTGAATCAGACAATCTCTGAAGTCCCTTTCAGCTCTTTTAGATCTTATAAGCCTCAATGCTTCAAAGATCTGGGACCTCATTATGCCAAATCTTGCTTCCCCTAATATAGCTCACAAGTCTTCAATGATTTAGTAGATGGGTTTAAAAAGAGTTTCTGTGATCAAATGATTCATGCCGCAGCAGCTAAATTGGTGCTGAACCTTTTTGCATTTATCCTGCTTGGTCCTCAAATGACAGGCAGACAATCTATTCCCAGGCCCATCCTCAAAGCCTTTCCAGCTTTGCAGCAGCTGCCAAAAATCAACATTTAACTGGCACAGCCTCCAAGAACCAGGGTCACCTCCACACCATGATGAGGCATTCAAGTAGGATTTTAATGGAAGATAAACCTATGAAACAGCAGAAGTCAAAATTATATTTATAGAGTGTCCAGGATTGGCCTAGGATTCTGTGGGCAACAGAATGGGTAGTTGCCTCATAGAGGGACACAGGGAAGGTGTCCCCCGGTGCCCAAAGTTATCATTCAAAGGCTGTTAGGGTGCCTGAAATTCTTTCATTAGAAAATCATTCCTTTACATTAAAGGATTAGCTCATGCTAATTCAGACATCTTTGGAAAAGGTAATATTCTTTGCTCCCATCAATCATTAACACTATGTTATGAATTAATCAGACTGCTTTTTAGGCTTGACAGCTCACAGTACATAGGGCCCTTAGAGGGGTAAGTTTTGATTGGGGATCAGAGGTAATGGGGAAGAGGCCTGGTAAGATCTGTCTTAAGCAAGGGTCTTTTCAGGGGAGAAGAAGCCAGAGGTTCTGTGTCATAGCTGTAGAATCATTACCAGAGAAGGTTAAGGGATTTTCTGAACATCATGGCTCATCAATGACAAGACGGAGAACTCACTCCCATACTTCTAAGACACTAGAACCGTAGACAGGACTCCTGGCTTGAATATGGGAGAGTGGCCTATTACCAAACACACATGTAATGCATAAAATTGAATAGAAACCAAGCCTACCAAGCATTTTTCATCATATCTTTTCAGACTCGTAATAGAGGAACAGGTTTCAACCTCACCCAAATATCACTTTCACAGCGCAGAAACAATACACCATTTACATGCTATAAGGATCATCATAGCTCACATTTCTATAGCAATTTAAGGTTTTAAAAAACACTTTCCTCACTACTCTTGGATGTAGGTGATCTAAGTCTTCTAATTACCATTTTACAGAGTAGGAAGCTAGAGCCCAGAGAGAGTGACTTGTCTAAGGTGGCACAGCTAGTTAGTGGTAAATAAAGAAAGAACACATGCTCCTGGTAGAATGTAAACCCCTTGAGAAAAAAACTGTTCATGGTGATCTTATCAGTTTCCATGGGTTTAATCACCTCTACATAAATGATTCCCAGATCTATATATCACATATATATACACATACATATATCACATACACACTCAATATATATGTATGTATGTATGTATGTGTATATACATATACATATACATACATATCCTAACCTCACACCTGAGCTTCACATCACCAGCTGCTTTTTTGGACATTTCAAATTGAACATCACATAGTCATCTCAAACTCAACATGTCCAAAACTGAACTCATTATCTTTTCCCCAAAACCTTCCCCTCTTTCAAATGTCCCTGTTATTGTCCAGGGTACCACTATCCTCCCTGATATCCAGGCCTGCACCTCAGTGTCATGCTCAACTCCTTTGTCATTTCTACCTTCCCAACACCTGTCATATACGTCTCCTTCTTCTGTCTACTCACACAGCTACCACTCTGCTACAGGCTTTTATCATCTCATGCCTGGATTATTGCAATAGTCTTCTGACTGGTATCCCTATGTCAAGCCTCTTCCATTTCCAATCCACACTCCACTTGGCTGTGGAGTGATTTTTCTAAAGGGCAATTCACCCCATTGTTCAGTGAAATCCAATGGCTTCTTATTACCTCCAGGATCCAATATAAAGCCCTATGTTTGGCGTTGAAAGCTTTTCATAACCTGACTCCTTCCTACCTTTTCAGTGTCCTTATATTTTATTCCCACTCCCCATACACTCTATAATCCAGCTATAGTGGCCTTCATGTTCCTCACAGAGAACACTCTATACTCCACTGTCCACATACCTAGAATGCTCTTCTCTCTCACCTCCAGCCTCTTAGCTTGAGACTTGAACTCTCAACTGTTTCATAACAAAATAAGCCTGTGGTTTCCTTCAAACAGAACACCTGGATTCACTGTTAACATGCCGAGATAATACAGCCACTGCTACTGAAGGCCCAGAAAAGCGATTTCTTGCCACAAATTTCCTTGGCCCTGTCAAATGGTTCACCATCAGAAACTGATGTGATATTATCAATGGAAATGACACAAAAGAAGAGGCATTATTATCTGCTGTGCCTACACACCCCTAAGGACCATGGGACCTTCCCATCTGACTTGCAGCTGAAACCTTCCATATCTGTTGTCTCCTCCACTGGAATGTGAGTCCTCGAGAATGGGGATTGTCTGACTTCTCTGTTTGTACCCCCAATTCCTTACACAGAGAAAGTGCTTCGCTCGTTCTTCATTCATTCATTCAATGAAAGGGTAACTAAACTGATGTAGCTACTCTTATCATCTATTTTGGGGGTCATAAAACATAAAACTGGAAGGGACTTTACATCATCTAATCCAACCACCACATTTTACACATGAGGAAACTGAGTCTCAAAGACGGATTTGCCCACAGTCACACAGGTACTAAATAGCAGAGCTAGTTGTTGAACCTAGGGCCTTGGACTCTTAAATCTAGCATTCTTGACATTAAATTCCATTGTCCATCATTTCATTTCTTTTTTTTTTTTTCCAAGGCAATTGGGGTTAAGTGACATGCCCAGGGTCACACAGCTAGCAAGTGTCAAGTGTCTGGTCTGAGATCAGATTTGAACTCAGGTCCTCCTGACTCCAGGGCCAGTGGTCTATCCACTGCACCTTCTAGCTGCCCCCATTTAAGTCCTTTTGATCCAAGCACTGCCATCTCTGGCTGGAGCCAGGTAATACCTGATCCGTTCAAAAAAAACTTCAATTCATTCCAATTATCATTTATTAGGAACCTATTGTTTGCAAGGTATTGTTTGCTGGGTACCATGTTTCCTACCAAAGTAAATAAGGCCATGTGTCACTTACCATTTTAGGATTTCTTACCTCACGGTGCCGTAGCTGCAAGTTCTGACCCTCGTAATATAAATTGTAGGTCTTCAGATGTACCAGAAGTTCATTTCTTTAAAGGGAGGAAAAGATACACATGAAAAGGCATGAGGTTGTCAAGTATAATGCAGGCACTCAGTCACTGAAGAGCTCTTTTCTCACCTCCAATCCAGACTTGGCTCAGTCTGAGAAACAGGGTCAGTCTTGGGAGAATCAGAGAATGTCAGAGTTGAAAGGGGGCCCAGGGTCATCTACTACAACCCAAATCTGGACAAGAGTCCCCTCTACAATGATGGCTTAGCCAAGGGGTCATCCTTCCATCTTCTGCTTGAAGATCTAGAGTAAGGGGCAAGTTACTGCCACATAAGGCTATCTATTCTACCTTTGGAAAGTGTTGTTTTTAGAAAGTTTGTTCTTAAATCTTTTCATTGACTCTCTTTTGGGGCAGAAGGAAAAGAAGAAAGGAGGAGGAGGAGAGGAAGAGGGAAAAGAAGGAGGAGGGGAGAGAAGGAGGGGAAGGAGAAAGAGGAGAAAAAGAAGGAGAAGAAGAAGGAGGAGAAGAAGGAGAAGAAGAAGAAGGAGAAGGAGAAGAAGGAGAAGGAAGAGAAGAAGGAGAAGAAGGAGAAAGAGAAGGAGAAAAAGGAGAAAGAGAAGAAAGAGAAGAAGGAGGAGAAGAAGAAGGAGAAAAAGGAGAAGGAGAAAAAGGAGAAGGAGAAGGAGAAGGAGAAAAAGGAGAAAAAGAAGAAAGAGAAGAAGAAGGAGGAGAAGAAGAAGAAGGAGAAGAAGGAGAAGGAGAAGAAGGAGGAGAAGAAGGAGGAGAAGGAGAAGAAGGAGAAGGAGAAAAAGGAGAAAAAGGAGAAAAAGAAGAAAGAGAAGAAGGAGGAGAAGAAGAAGAAGAAGAAGGAGAAAAAGAAGAAGAAGGAGGAGAAGGAGAAGAAGAAGAAGGAGGAGGAGAAAGAGAAGAAGATGAAGAAGAAGCTAGCATTTACAAAGCACTTTAAGGTTTGCAAAGCACTTTAAATATGTTAACTCATTTGATCCTTGCAACAACCCTGGGAGGTAGATGCAATTATTATCCCCATTTCACAGATGGGGAAACTGAGACTGAGAGGAGGTTAAGTCCCTTGCTCAAGGTCACACAGCTAGTGTCAGATGCAGGATTCAAATTCTGATTCCAAGTCCAGCACTCTATCCACTGTGCCACCCAGCTGGCTTATATAATACTAATACTGATCAGCTGAAAGATTTGTTATAGAAATACAACGTTAACAACAATTTTATAGTTATTTAAAAATGCAATTTCATATGGTTCACAGCATTTAGAACCAGAAGGGACCTTAGGGAAATTCAACCCCCTCATTTTACTGAGGAGGAAACTGAGGCCCAGGGATGCTAAATGATTTGCCCAAGGTTCCATAGCTAGCACATGTCAGAGGTAAGATTCAAACCTAGGTCTCTCCCTACTGACAGCAGCCTTCTTGCCATTACACAACCCTACATCCCTCAGGGTCTAACTATAACGTAGCAGAGGACCCGAGATTATGGGTTTCAGAATTCCATTCCTTCCCGTTCTGCATTATTCCCCTCCCCATCCTGTAATCTACTACCATTTCACTGTCTGAAAGGCTCTCTCCTCAACCTTACAGCTGGATCCATAATTTACAGCTGACCTTCCTAAATGAAGCAGCATCTCTAGAAAAATAATAGTGACTGACTTTAATTTTTTGTGTTTTTTAAGGTTTGCAAAGCACTTTCCATACATCATCTCCTTCGATTCTGTGAACTTTGTGGTTTAAAAAAAATACCTTAAGATGCTTCATTGCTGTTGTCTGCTAAAGCTAATGTAGCTCTTATTCTGGTGTTCCCAAGCAATTTTTTTAATCTCTCTACTGGTATTTCAATCATCTTTCAAAACTAATCTTTGCTTTTTTATGTCTTTCAAAGTCAATGGAGCTCAAAAGAGATCAGGGCAACTCTACTTTAAGCATCATCAATCAATAGAAACTCAATGATCCATAAGCACTCATTAAACACCTACCATTTTCCAGGCACTGTACTAAGCGCACCTGGCCAGAGTGTTGCTTATTGCTTTACTCAACTGTACTTGTTTCTTACAAGGGAAGGTTCTGTTGGGCAAGAAAACATCCCTGGGAAAATGACAGTGACATTAAGGACAAAAGCATCAAAACATTTTTTTCTAAATCAATTTCTTTTTTTTTCAGTTCCGAATTCTCTCCTTCCTACATCCCCCTCTCCCACCCATTGAGAAAGCAAAACATAAATAAATAAAGTTACCAATATGTATAGTCAAGTAAAACAAATTTCCACATTAGCCAAGAGCAAAAAAAAAAAAAAAAATCTGCCCCGTGAGTTCATCACTTCTCCATCTGGAGGTGGATAGCATGTTTCATCATGAGTCCTCTGGAATTGTGGTTGGGTCCATTGCTATAAAACACTTTTAAAAATTTAAAGCATGACCTTAAAAATCATGGCCTTAATTCTGAATGTAAGAGTTGTCCTTTCAGTGTGTTCCTTATATGCCAAGGGGAATCATCATCATCCTCATCATCCTCATAATTAGCATTTACATAGTGCTTCAAAGTTTGCAAAGCACTTTACAAATATTAACTCATTTTATCTTCACAACAACCTGAGAGATGGGTGGGATTATTTTCCCCATTTTACAGACATGGAAAATAAGGCAGATAGAGGTTAAGTGACTTTCCCAGGGCCACCCAGTTAAGTGTCTAAGACCTGCTTTGAACTCAGGTCTTCCTGCCTCCAGGGCTAGCATTCTACCCACTGTACCACGTAGGTAGTTTCCAGTGTTCATAACCTTGGGTTATCTCTAACTCTTCCTCTCACTCCTCAAATCCAATCAGTTATTAAGTCTTGTCACAAGATCTCATATCTATCTGTTCCCCCCTTTCTCTTTTCCCATTGCCAACTTCCTAATGCAGGCCTTCATTACCACTCATTACCAAAGGCTCTAACAGGTAATTGTGACTTTCTCCCTTTTTCCAAACCATCCTCTTGTAATGCAACCAGACTTGTTTTCCTTGTGCATGGAAATAGCCACATCAATCCCCGGCCAAAAATTCTGCAATGGCTCCCTTCTTGGCCAAACTCAAACTCCTTGACCTACCCTTCCATTCAAGACCCTCCACTATCTGGCACACGGCCATCAAAATCCAAAATAAAAACTTCTGTTTGGTGACAAGTTGGCTGCTTCCTACCTTTCCAATCTTCTTATACTTTATTTCCTTCCATGCTATACTTGCCAACCCTCCCTGCTCTCCACCCCTCAGCTTTGGGCCTCAGTCCTGGCAATCTGCTCCCTATGCCTGCTTCCTCCTCACCTCTGGCCCTGGCTTCCTGAAAGACAGAGCTCAAATCCCACCTCGGGCAGAAGGCCTTTCCCGGCCTCTACTCCTACTCCCATTGCCTAAATAGGAAAAGTGAGATCCTTGAGGCAGGAATCCTCCTTGGCCATCCTTTACATCCACCATTCCTGGTACAGAGGCAGCCTTTAATAAATGACTACTGACTACCCTTCCAACGTCAAGCCACATTATCTAATGTTCCCTTCATATGCTACCCTCAAGCCAAACCAGACTATTTCCCTGTTTTTCTGTACACACCTTGAACTCCTGCACTCTCCAATCTTCATATTTTTGATGAGGCTGTGCCCTCACCAGCACTAGTGGCCGCTTGGAAGAGAAGGTCCAGAGCCTGTTCATCAGTGGCCTCTTTGTAGACATCAAACCAAGAGAACTCTACCTTCTCTTCTGGCCATTTAAGGAGCATGAAGGGTCATTGACCAAACTCACATCTAAGCAGCCTGTAGGTTCTGTGACTTTTGACAGCCGTGCTGGGGCTGCTTATTGAATGGTATCTGTCTTGACCCCAAGAACCCACAGACCTTATGGTTAGAGTTTGCCCAGGCCAACACTAAACAAATTGATGGCAACACCAAATCCCACCAGCATCCACCCCTCCCTGGGCGCACATTTCAGCACAGGGACCCCTATGACCTGATGGGAGCTGCTCTGGAGGCATGGACCCCTCACCCCTGGAGCTGACCCCTGCCATTCCCGTGCTGCATTCACCTACCCGGCTGCTGCTGCTGCCACTGCCCTGCATGCTCAGATGACTGGTACCCTCCCTCTGAAGCCACACCACAAGCATGAAAATCTCATCAGTTCTGTTCGTCTTTCAGTAAGTGCCAGTCCTGAGGACAAATGATGCTCTTCTTGCTTCCTCCTTTCCTCCTCTCCAGCCCCTTCTTCTCCCCCAATCCCAAGCCCTGGTTGAACCCCTGGTGCCCTTGACCTGAATTTATTTCATTGGATGGTTAATAAGCAGGTGCTCTCCACCTCTGGTGTGGCAGCCTCTTCTGCCTTTCCCTTCCCTTGTGCCAGGACTAAGGGCTGGAATTCTCCATGCCTTCTAGCAAACCAAAGGAGTCTTTGGCCTTCAAACCCCAGTAGCTAGGCCCTGAGCCTCTCCACCAGAGTTGCCAGTCAGTATCGGTCAGTTGAGTAGCTCAGGTGGATAGGGTGCAAGACCTGGAGTCAGGAAGACTTCAAATCCTGCCTCCAATATTTATTAAGCTGTGTGACTCTGGGCAAGTCATTTCACCTCCATTAGCCTCAGTTTTCTAATGGGGATAAGTAATAATCATCGACCTCTCAAGATTGTTGAGGATAAAATGAGTTAATATTTGTAAAGCTTTTTGCCAACCTTGAAGTGCTATATAAACACTAGCCATTATTATTGTTGTTATTTGGGCCTCACCAGTTTCTTATCACAAAAAACATACATACTCTTATTATTATATCCTGATGTGCTCCCCCTTTTTTGTTTTTAGTAATCCACTCACTACCATCTATTTCCCTTCTCCGGTCTTGCCACAACAGCTTGAAAGCCCCAGCCTGAGTCCCCTCTGGAGCATCCAGCTGGGGAGAAAGCCATAGAGTCAATTTGCACATTGTTTTGGTGGGCACCAGTGTTGGTGCTTGGCACTCCTATCACCTCTGGTGGCCCTCCCAGGGTGCCACCATCCGTCCTTTT